ACATAAGACGGTAATGACGTTAATTAAAACTTTCAATTACAAACAAAACATATTAGAGTATTCCCAAGACCGGTACGTACCGGACAAGTAAACCTAATCTCAGTTATGACAGTTATGTCACATGGTCACGCACAATGAACACAGAAGTATACTAGTAGGTTTCAAAATACAATTATAAACCAAGGGGTGGCATGTTGGCATTTTATAAAATATATGTAATTGAGAATCATCAACACCGAAGAAATTATGGCTTAGACTGTGGCCTCGGTGGTTCTGATGCCAGAAAAGGGGGAGGCACCGAATGGAGGTGGTTCTTAAGCCGCGATATTACTAGATTATTCGCATATTTTTCAATAACTTAACTGATGTGATAAATACAGAACGTAGTGGTGCATTTTAAGCTACAAGTTTCAATATATTCAAGATTTATTCCTGCTTAATGTTTTTACCGAAATGGACGATACAGGCATCCATTTAAGTATCGGCTGTTGTTTAAATTTACTTATTGACAGACTGACTGCATAAATGTGTTACGTAACTTTTTTGTGTAGACGAACAATGTAGTGATGATATATGCCCGTGTAATCACGGTACACTTGTTACAGTCCCTTCTAACTCACCTCCGTACTTACTCTCGTTCAGTAGAGCGACCCCCACCCCATGGTTTGGAAGGTCAAATAAGACAGAGTTAAAGTTCCGGACTTGCCACTGACAAAAAACATCTTTTAAAATAAAGAAGAAAGTTGCAATCTAATTTTCAGATCAAAATCAAATGTCGTCAAAGAGAACAACAACAATTTCTGGAAATCTTCCTGGGTGGTTCAAGAATCCCATCTGAGAGTTCTGGACCTAGTTGGCCTTTATTCTTTCAAATAATTATACAATAGATGTATACAATAATGTGACGTCATAATCGTGGTTTAATATTGTATATGATAGGTTGTTGTTTATGAATAGGATTCTAGTGGAGTCTTATCGATTTCTAAATGCCAGGCTAACTACAGTGAGTATTGGCAATAGAACCAATAATGCAATTGTACCCCGTATGTGAGGTTTTATGGAAAAATACAATGAAGTAATACATTCTGAAGACAAAACAAACTAATACTAAAAATACAGGAAAACCCCAAACAAAATGGTGTGTGATTGATCCAGGAGTCATTTTAAGAACATTTTCATTTATGACAGAGTGTATATTTCATTATTTCAGTGTGGTTTCGCTGTAGATGTCTCAGTATATCATATGTGTTCTTATTCCTGTGTGCGTCATGTATAGGTTTGTGTACGCTATGTAAGTTGCCTTGGAGTACACACCAATTAGTGATACCATTGACAATCAAGACCCTCGAGTTGGTAATAATAGGGAAAATGGACCACTCCCGAATCATTGGGACGCTGTTTTACTATTGTGTGTAGAAATCAAGGTCTCTGACTTCGCTTGACCTTGCCAATTAATCGACACGTTGTTATATAATTAATTGATATTCCAGTTTGCAATCACGATGACGTCATCTAAATTTGTGGTAATGACCAAACACTGTTGATTGGCATGCCTCCGTTTACATGCAGAGTCAGTATAGGTGTTTATACCAAGTATATTGTTACCGGCATATGCCACTGTCACGACTATGAAAGAATCCGTTCACTCGTCAATGCACACTCTGTTTTCGCATTTTCTGATTGTATTTTATAATGCAGTGGTGAAGGTTTAAAGAGCCAGTTTTAAAACGCTTCTAACCAAGTTTTTACTTAGAGTGGGGGAAATTAGCACATACGACATTTATGAAGTGTCGCATTGTCTCGTTCTCATGCAAAAAACCCCAACAATAACTGACATTGTTATTCCACCAACCCAACCCAATACGTTATACATAGAGTGACAAGTTATATATTATTACTACAAGAGCGCCCTCACCATGACTAGCTAAACTTAATCAGGTATTTGGTGAAATGGCGAATGTTCCCACACTCCAAACTTTATTAAAATAGCGATGAACACGTGTTGCAATAATTGCAATATCCGCCCATATATTATAGGCACATTGGAATTGATTATTTTTCGCGAAACATCTCGTATGATCAAATAACGCACCTACTTCATTTGAGAACAGACAATACAATGTCTATCGTTGGGAGTCGTGATTGTCACAATATTCTTGACCAACCTAAGCAACATATGACTATTAATATGAGGGTATTACGAGGATACTGCAAAGTATGCACGAAGACAGTACAGCGGTAGTATGCGCAGCGGAGGTAGATACGACCACGTACTGTCTGAGTATTGCAGTATCCTCGTAATAACCTTATTATTATACATTTTTTCCACCCAGGAATACATCATAGAAATACCTAAATCCAAAACGTTTAGGGCAGATTTAGCGAACTTCTTTGTATGGGGACCGGTCAAACCCTGAGGGCAACCATGTTTTTTTTTATTATTAGAGGACGCTTACACGCGTTATCGTTCCATATACAGGAATCTATGTTATTCAACAAGCAAGGTATATATTACCCCGACAGGTAGGGGACTATGTTACCCCGACAGGTAGGGGACTATGTTACCCCGGCAGGAGTACGATGTTGACAAAATATTATCTACGTGATTACCATAGAAACAAGGTATTGACGTGTAACCTAGCCATGGTGAAGAAATTCTAAAGTATATACAATCATCGCTTGTGGGAATCGTTCGCGTTGATATATTCAATTTAGCGTCATCGAGATTCTCAATTCCGAAATCACCTGGCACGGTCCGTTCTTTGTACATCGCTTAACGATTCTATTCACTGATGTGAGCACCGACTGCGTCGCACAATTTGACAATGTGTGTCACTGTACGTGGAGTGACACCTGAATAGCATAAGAAAAAACTAATAAGAATCCCGAATTCTACCAAACAACTGTCTATATAAAATCAGTATAAAATGTAATCTCTCGTTTTTTGGCAGCCAGGACAACCATGTCGCTCATTGTGATTATCCCCAGGGAACGTATTGTCGAAATTCGATCTGCTGACACACTTTGGTTGAGGTTTTCACTACATTGAGTTAGAGCCAATGAGACTCAAGGGTTCAGTTTTTCACTACATTGAGTTAGAGCCAATGAGACTCATGAGTTCAGTTTTTCACAACATTGAGTTAGAGCCAATGAGACTCATAGGTTCAGTTTTTCACTACATTGAGTTAGAGCCAATGAGACTCATGCGTTCAGTTTTTCACAACATTGAGTTAGAGCCAATGACACTCATAGGTTCAGTTTTTCACTACATTGAGTTAGAGTCAATGATACTCATGAGTTCAGTTTTTCACTACATTGAGTTAGAGCCAATGACACTCATAGGTTCAGTTTTTCACTACATTGAGTTAGAGCCAATGAGACTCATGCGTTCAGTTTTTCACAACATTGAGTTAGAGCCAATGACACTCATAGGTTCAGTTTTTCACTACATTGAGTTAGAGCCAATGATACTCATGAGTTCAGTTTTTCACTACATTGAGTTAGAGCCAATGACACTCATAGGTTCAGTTTTTCACTATATTGAGTTAGAGCCAATGAGACTCATGCGTTCAGTTTTTCACTACATTGAGTTAGAGCCAATGACACTCATAGGTTCAGTTTTTCACTACATTGAGTTAGAGCCAATGATACTCATGAGTTCAGTTTTTCACTACATTGAGTTAGAGCCAATGATACTCATGGATTCAGTTTTTCACTACATAGGGGACATATAAAATAGCGCATTGCTTATCACGTGAGTAGTAATTTGTATGGCATTTACTCCATAACTAACGCC